AATGTAATGTAGTTAGATTTATATAGGGTTTTACACCGAAATGGTCTCAAAGCGCTGGAGGTGTGCATTGGCTCTTCTTACATAATGCTGGTTAAGCTAAAAATATAGGCTTGTATAAATAAATTTTAAGCGTTAAAGAAGAGGAATCTGTGTGAGTTCAAAGTAGCCTACGTACATGCAGATTGGAGAGAATTTAAGTTTAAGCTAATAATAATTCGAAAGCTAGTTCTGATTCAAATTTCTAAGACACGCTAATATTTACGACATTCTGTATCTATTCAGATTGGTTATGACTGGCTACCAACATCATCCAAGCTCCTCCCAACATGCATCATAATATGTGGAACGTTAGCATTCATCATTCGAGTATGGTTAGTTGGTGTCATCGTGTTTCTGTATCGCCATTTTGGTCATGCTTTGGGAAACAAGGGTAATGCTTCTCTCTGTTACTACAACTAACTACTACTTCAACAACCACTGCTACTCTTACTGTTTACTGCATTCCGCTAATACTGCTACTGAAGTTCATACTACTACTATTAATAACGATACTACCATGGCCTCCTCTACTTATAAACCCTCCACAGATGCTGGTAGTAATACTATCAATGATTCTGGAATTGAGAGTTTTTAAAACGTTGATACAAAACTTGCAAACTATGCAATTTTCTATTACACCTTTTTCCAATTTTGTTTATAATTTCAGTTTTTGGGTCAGGAAGAAATTGGCGAAACTCGTCAGGTATGGAAATCAAGACATTCAGGCCAAAATCCTCTTCACGACTAAGCAGCGTTCGACTAAAGACATGGCCTCCCAAATTCAAGAAATCTCTGAAAGATAAACGGCGCAGCGAAAGAGATTTAATCAAAGAAAGACCGGAAAGCTCAACATCACGTGATCGGTCGTCACAAACTGACACTTCATCACAAGTTGGCCTTATAATGGAGAAGACGAATCCGAAACGAAATGATAAGAAAAAGACTATGACATTAAGCTTTAAAATTACGAAGTCAGACGGCAAATGAACTTTTGCAAAAAAGAAAAACTGTCTGCGAATTTGACTGTTTGAAGTACGGTAGATTCTACCATTTTACAGTAAACCTATCATAGTTACCTATGATGTCACGTAAATTCGTGGCACAAAGCGTCTATGAAGTTATTTTAACGTGGCTGAGACAATCCATGTCTCTTTATTTGACTTGGAATAAACTGTAGAAAAGTACCAAACATGTACGGTTAAGGGTATTATACGCTACGTTTCTATATTATAATTGACAATTATAATGTTAAATGAACATTTTATAAATAATTTGTCACACAAAGCTTTATAATCGATCATATCCATATCAATTCTTCCTGCTTACGGTGTTTTGGTAACGTTTTGGAGTAATTTTTGTAGGCCTTAGCTTATCTAATGTTCAGATATCGTGCCATCATTAAGGACCAAAATGCTAATTTTGTCACAGTAAGTTTATGGTATGGTGGAACTTTATAAAGAGCTTTATAATCGATCTTCACCATATTAAGTCATCCTATTTACGGTAACGTTTAAAAGTGATTTTTGTAAGCCTTAGCCTGCCTATCTAATTGCTATTTATCGTGTCGTCATAAGGAACAAGATGGCGAAAAGTTTGAAAACGGGCTTAAAGATCGACATTTTGATTATGATGTCGTCATGGGTAACTTTGTGGTATTCTGTAGGCCGGTCAACATTTATGTATTTATTTAATCATCACTGTCACAGAAAAAATATTTAGAAATAAATTATTTTTTCATTTACATAGTTAAATATATTTTAAGATATTAACGCTCATTTGAAGCATAAAAACACATTAGGAATATCATTTTGTGGATGGTGTCCTGGAGTACTTAGGCAATTTTGACATGTTATTGAAGATAATCTAAAAAATGATTAAAAATAAATAATAAATGAATACAATTACTTGAAGTACTTATTTATAGACATTCGAAATTCAAGAATAATGACTTGGTATAATATTACAATCGATAATAAAAAATGAATCAATTTGCTATACAAGTCGATTATTTGAAATGATTTAGGCCTATTTTTGCTTCTATATAACAAGGTACAGATACAATTATTACCACAAGCAATTTCATTAAATTAGTGTCAAATAAAAACTTGTAAAGAAAAAGTATATAGCATACATTATATATTATAACTGATGCTATGTTAGTCTACAGCAAATTATTAATAACAAAATAATATTACAATAATCATAAATACATAAAGTGAATATACATGCCAAATTTTGAAAAATCTCAAAACCTAATAAACCATACTAATTACCAAACACAAGAATAGAGCAACCATTGATATTTTAGGTTGTGTAAACGTGCACGGAATCTTCTTTTCAAAAGAAACTGTGTTTCAAAAGACATCATGGGTTGTTACAATAGACAGTACAACGTTTGTTGGTTGTGGGTGTGATGATGATTATGATGATAATGATGATAATGACAACATTATAATAATGATGATGATTATGATGGTGATGATGATAACGACCCCTTTTTGAGTAATAAAATAGAAACGATATAACATTAGATAAACTTAGATTATATACTCTCTGATTACAAAAAAGTGAAATAAGTCTGAATGAATATGCCTAGAGATCACTCCTGTAGAGCATAGAGAAAATGTGTAAAATTTCACTTTATTAAAAGTCAATTTCAATAACTTTTCACTATTTTAAGAATAAAATTCACTCTTTTAAGAGTGATTATATTCACTCTAGAAAAATGATCACTGCAGGCACTTTATAGTGAAATTCGCCTTTTTAGACCTAAAGCGTATACTGTAGGCCTACTTCACTGAGACGTCATCACTTTTTGTGCACTGTGAACCTACCTCTAAATTTTATTCGGGAACAGACAGGAGGTTAAAACATGGAGAAAGATGTACATGGCTAATCACTCAATAATCACTTATTGCCTCCCATAGATCTACTAAAACAACCATGAAATATTAATACCCTCTGGTTTCTCGTATTCTCATAAAACAATGCTGTCAATTTTCTTAACGTTTGCACACATTAACTTATATTTAATTGACAATAAATGTTGAATGTGTTTGCACTAAGTGATGGACGAGAGACACATACAGACAATAACTGTCAAACAAGCTGGGGTGGTATTGGAATAATGAATGGTGCTACAAAGGCCAACAGTACAATATTTACCTACATTGAACAAGTCTACATCAGTCTTAGGCAGTTGTTTTCCCTCATCATCATAATCATCACCATCAACATCATCGTCATTCTCATCACCATCATTATACCAATCATCATTGTCATCATGACCATCACCATCCTCATCATTATCATTCTTGTCATAATCAAAACCATTATTATTTTCCATACAATTATTTATTATCTGAAACTTCATTCACGGTTTATACATTTCAAATTAAACCATATGCAATCGTCTAGTACTGCGGAATCAAGGGGAAATTATTCGATCTTTATACTCATACTAAACTAAACAGTTCAATGTTTCAAATTTCCTACTTTACAAGGATATATTGTTAAGTATTCTTATGTTTTCAATTTCAATTAAAAGGTAATAACTAAAATAGGCCTATATAAAATACCTTCTGACCTTATTTTCTTAGGGTCAACCAAGTACAGACATAATTAATTGCTGTTGCTTTTTATTTATTGTAGATATTAATGGAAATTGTAAATGATGATTATTAAATTCAATTTAATATTTTTATTATAATGCCCCTGACCATTGTTGTTTAATTATGTATTCTGTTTATTATCAAATAAATAAATGAAATGAATTCATTTTGTATTGCGAAATCAGCGGGACATTATTCCATCTTTATACTCATACTAAGCTAAAACAGCTAAATATTTCCTACTTTATAAGCATATCTTTTTAAGAAGTCTTACCTTTTAAATTTCCTAAAATAGGCCTATAATTATATTAAAATAAGCAATTCAAATATTTTGACGTTATTTTTTTTAGGGTAAAGCAGGAACAGTATAATTAATTGCTATTACTTTAAGAGTAACATTAGACAAAGTAGACTAAAAATGAATAAATGGGCTAATATGCCATGGCTGTATACGATGACATTCATCCTACATTTGCATTCCATATCCTCATCCCGATGTAGCCCATGAATAAAAGGAATTTAACAGGAAACACCCATATTAGTTAGCTTAATGCTAGGTTCCAAAAGGCTTATCGAAGGCATAATAACCAATTAAAGTTTAGCAAGGGGAATTTTAGACGAAGGTCAAAATCTATGCCCCGGGGTATACTAATCCATTCAATATGACTCTGCGGATGAACTTTTTGAGGTAAGGTAACAATGTCATGTTCGATCACCAATCAACAGCAATCGATCGTGTACTATCAAAGATAATTAATTTTAAATTATAAGCGGAGATGAGAATCTAATGTAATTTAACATTGTTTGCCAAAAACAATGCCACAGTTTAAAGTATCGTTCTGAGCATAATTACGGCGACAGACTAGGGCAGATGCGGGTTAACCAATCACTGATCGGGACATCAGTTTCATAGACATTTCCATCACACTCACGGTGGAAAATGCTTTCATTTTGACGATAAAATCACGGAAAAGGTCTAAAGGGTACATATTTAGCTGTTTTTGTTCATGATGAGTATGCCTATTTAAAGACCCGAGTGCAAATATGGAAAAAAAAAATACACACAAGTTTTAAGAAAGACAGTAGGCCTAAACACCAACTGCAATAACAACTATTTAGGCTAAACCTCTGTTACCTAATTCATTTAATTCACTCTGTTACCTCTGTTACCTAATTCACCAACTGTCTTATTTGACAAATTAATTTCCCCTCGGAATTTTTAGAAAATATCTTTAATATAGCGGTAAAGTAAGCCATAGACATGGAACAGCCTGTTGGTCTGTGTTTACGCATATTGGCCTAGGTCTACAGGCATAAGCCTATAAGTCCATCTGTTGTTCGTATTTCATTTGTATTAATACTAATAGCAGTATGCCTGCTACAGTTTTGGAAAAAAAATAAATGCATGTATACGCATTTTTAATGCCAAAATACGAAGGTAAAAAAGACTTCAAGTGTGGTTATGACTGTCACACAATCACCGATAAAGTTTACTGTTCAAAATCGTAATGATGACAGACTCGTGTTGACTGACTCACGATTTCTTGTAGTTACTAGCTAATTATATACAGGTGTACCTAATTAATCAGCAATTTAACGAAGAGGTTTTATTCGATTATGAGTCAACACTTCGTACTAATAAAACACGGATAATAATATACGACCCTTGTTGTAACCCATGTTATAATCCACTTATCAAAATTGATATTGTAGTAGCCCAAAAATGATGTTCACTAGGTGTATTATCTCAAATATTGATATGGATCATAGTGTTAATTGCTATGTTTGAAATATAGCACTTACTCATCGTAGTAACCCTCATGCTGCCCTGAAGTAAACTCGTATTATAAAATTGCTAAGATGACGGGTCCAGACCAACTGTCGCCTGCTGACCGTCTGAAATTAAAATTGTAAAAAGAATATGAGCGTCCTGAAGGACGGAAGGTAGAAGCACGAATGAATTGCCTGCAAAACAGTTTGTCTATCTGCAAGGAGATTTACAGTTACGAGAAATAAAAGAAAAAAATTGAACAATCCGAGGGAAAACTCAAAATTTAATTAAAACATCGAATTGCTCACTGAAAAACATTTTTCCAACATTCATTAAGACACGAACATTCTTGACATAATGATTCCGATAGGGCCATGGACCTAAGGAAAATATACAGAAACTGTTCATGTGCCATGACGGGAAAATTTATTTCGCTTTCTATTTTAAAATTGAAAGCTATCTAAAACATAGATAAACATAATTGATGTTTTTTTTTTTATTATATGAGCAATTTTATAAATAAATAAACCGTCCTGCGGTAATGCTATAAATATATATAGGCCTAAGTACATTTTAAACGTTAATAAAGAAGAGAAATCTGCGAGTGTTAAAAAAAAAAGGTGCCCCAACGTCTATGCAGACACCTTACCAAATGGGCCATTGAGGCGTTATTGGGAATTCCAATCTGATGAAAGCATCTAATTCTTTACACTCATTGCATACGGTACGTAGTTAGGCAGCACTAGTCCTTGATGCATGGAAAATAACAGAGATCAATATGATACGCCCTCTCCTTATAAGCATTTGACGACAAGACGAGATCTCCGAAGAGATGCTTTTTGTAAATAATTATGGTATGAATGTGAGAT